ACAGCATACAAAATGTGATTTCCCATCCAGAACATACTGCATAGTGGCTTAATGCTGCATATTATTATCAAAAATTTTCCATTTCTAGTTTTTAGAATTTTTTTAACCCCTATTTCTTACCCTCTGTCCTTTTCCATCCTCTTCTCATACTATCTCTGGTGTCTACAATTGTCTTCCATTCCTTTCCCACCCACATTGTATTGATCACACAATTTCTTAAATAATCTAACTACTTTCAATAGCAAGTTCCCTTGGTACTATTAAGAAAACCAGTTTTAACTTAAATCAAAGAAATGCTAAGGAATTTTGCTTAAAGACAGGTCTAAAATATGTTACATAAGACAAGTGGCTTCTTCATTCAAGACCATCAGTCTTGGCTTAAGATGTCACTTACAAAAATAAAAATCTTTAGACAAATATTTGTACACCTGAGGTTATTTCCTTTTGTATTTCTACTTTTCAGGCTGCTATCAAAATGTACTTTGAACTGTAGGAGTTATAATTTAACTACTTAATAGATTTTGCTTTGAAAATAAGCTTGAAGGACAGCAGAAGTTTACAGCAATTGGAAAAGAACTATTGTATCTCTCCAAGATGTCTGTGAAATGGACTTCAGTTCTTTTGTTAGTACTGCTAAATTCTTTTCACTCTGTGAGCTGTGGAAAAGTGCTGGTGTGGCCCACAGAATACAGCCATTGGATCAATATGAAGACAATCTTAGACGAACTTGCCCAGAGAGATCATGAGGTGACAGTTCTGGTATCTTCATCTTCCGTTTTTATTAATGCCAAGAAATCACCTGTGATTAAATTTGAAGTTTATCTTACATCTTTAACCAAAGATGATGTTGATGATCTTCTCATGGATATCATCAAAAAATGGATATATGAGTCACCAAAAGACTCATTTTGGGCATATTTTTCACATATGCAAGAAAACTTTAGGAGATATTATGATTATATTGAGAAGTTATGTAGAGATGTAGTTTTGAACAAAGAACTTATCAAAAAACTACAAGCCTCGAGATTTGATGTCCTTCTTGCAGATGGCGTTAGTCCCTGTGGTGAGCTGGTGGCTGAGCTACTTAAAATACCCTTTGTGTACAGTCTCCACCTGACTCCTGGACATACAGTTGAAAAGTACAGTGGAGGACTTCCCTCTCCTCCCTCCTATGTACCTGTTGGTTTCTCTGAATTAACTGACCAAATGACATTCATGGAGAGGGTGAAAAATATGATATATACGCTTTATTTTGACTTTTGGTTCCAAGCGTGTGATTTGAAGAAGTGGGATCTGTTTTATAGTCAAGTACTAGGTAAGTTATACTTATCATTGATAGTCCAAAGTCTTCAACATTTTCTGTGCCTTGGAAGGTGAACTTGCATAAAGTCAAGGACTCTTGTTTATAAGAGCAATAATGCAATGAAAATAGAAGAATATCTATCAACTTTACAAATATTATGGAAAGGTTGACATTATAGGGTCAGTTAGAATCTGATGGCTGTCACTCATACTGCATAGTCCAGTGTGTCATTAACCTGCAGATTAAAGCATTTAAGATTTTATTAAACAATTGCCTCTCCAGTTTAGAAGGCATTTTTTTCAGTTAAAAAAATATCATTATACACATCAAAAAATATCTTGATGAAGGGCCCACATGTGGACTCAGCATTTTCTAATATATTTGTACATGTATCATTGAGGAAATTATTGAATATATTGTACCTGCATATATATTCCATATTTTAAAGATTGTTTATACATAGAATATATATAATTAATTGTTTTTCTATGCAAAAATGCATCATGACTCTCAGACAGCCCAACATTTGCATATATATATTCATTTTCTATGTAGTTCCTATGTGTAGACAGATATTCCCCTTCTTACAGGATTCACCCTATGATTTTTTTTCCAGTTTCAATTATATGAAAATAATAAGTTGATAGAAACTATACTTCTGAGATTTTAACACTAGCAGTAAAACAGCCTTAGTGTTTGATGGTTTTGCTCAAGTATAAGCTAATATAAGTGTTGTAAGTATATTTAAGGTAATCTGGACTAAGCTATGATGTTTGATAGATTATATATGTATATAATTGCATTTTCCACTTTTAATATTTTCAACAAATAGTGGGTTTATTGAAACATGATCCCACGTAAGTTCCCGGGGGGACAGCCAAACAGGTTTCCTGAGTGAAGGAGTGAGAGCCGGGACAAGCGGCGTAGTGTTATAGCATGGAGACGACAGTGTCGTCCATTTATTGTGGGCAGCACGGTACAGCACAGAGACGACGCAGTGTCACAACTCTTAAGGGTTGTCCGGAGACGATGTAGTGTTACAGCTCTTCAGAGTCTCCCAGGTCATCTGGACACTGTGAGGTGTTTCAGCTCTTCGGGCTCTTCAGTCGTTGTCTTCCTGGTCGTCGTCGTCTTCCTGGTCGTCTGTCTATTATGGGCCAGAGATCGTGCTTATATACACATTGGTGGGCCGTGATTGGTTGAATGAAGGATAGCAAAAGGTAGGTTATGATTGGTTGCTTTGTGGACCAATCATGAGGTACCCAGATATGCAAATCTGAGGGATTCTAAGCTCACCGATTTACTATGTGAAGTGGCCAATCAGAGTGTGGTGTTGAAGGTGAGGTTTTTTGAAGGGGAGCCAATTGTGGCCTTTGTAATTGTTTGCTCTCTGAGCCTAAGGTGGCAATAGTAAGAGACTCATGACAAATGGCCTCAGCAGACTCGCTGGTGCACAGCCTCCCACATAAGTTGAAGAGCATCATATATTTGTTGTATCAAAATACAGGCACAGGTACCTTTGTCTACATTATTTCAACATCCTTCAGGAAAGTGCCTGATATATTCACATGACACTTCAACTGTGAAATCTAATTTTGGTCTTCTGTTTTCCTTCAGGAAAACCCACTACATTACTTGACACAATGAAGAAAGCTGAAATCTGGCTTATTCAAAACTATTGGGATTTTAAATTTCCTCGACCACTCTTACCCAATTTTCATTTTGTTGGAGGACTGCATTGCAAACCTGCCAAACCCCTGCCCAAGGTAAGCTGTTCTTATTTTCTTTGTTTTTATTTGCCTTGAATTTTCCATTAGAATTAGTCTACATTCTTCATTCAGAGTGATTGACTCACATAAAGAGAAAGAGATGGGAAGTGAGGTAAAGCTGCCCACCCATTAAAAAATAAAATATTTCTTTATCACCTCAAGTATCTCAATTTCATTTCATTACAGAATAAACAGGGAGACTAGATAGACTTTGAAAATGTGGTTGGTGAAATTAAGGAGTTTGGGGACCAGCAGTTGCATATGTTGCTGGACTCTCATGCAGTCGACCGTGGTTCGAGTCCTGGACCCGGTGACTTATATTCGCACCAGGCGCGTGTGTGTGTGTGCCCAAGATCCCGAGAGCAGAATGGAGGAGAAGGGATTGTGATGTGGCCATCCCCCTGGGGGGTGATTTCTCACTTTCTATCTCTCTGTCTCTCTCTGTCTCTCTGGCAAGCACATACGCCCTATAGCAAAAACTTCTCCCTCCCCCCCAAAAAATTAAGAAGTTTATTATTCAACACATAAAAATATATCAATCATTCATTCAAAGTTATGTTTTAAATGAATTCAATATTTTAGAGGTAAATGTTAGAACTTCAGAGACAAAGTAGAATAGTACCCTTCATCAGTGTACAGTCCATTTATAAACATAAAAGTTAAAAATGTGAAAAAAAATTTGTTGCATCTGATAAACACACACACACACACACACACACACACACACACACACACACAATGTTAAGGAAACACCCAGAGAGCAACATGGAAATAATCCCAGAATCATTCATAATTAAGGTGAGACTGTAAGTGCAAGAATAAGTGAAGGGCAAAGCAGAGTGAAGACACAGAGAAAAGCAGGTTGAGAATTAAAGACAGTGTCCAAAAATGCAAGTTTAGTTTAGTAGGAAAAGTTTGAATAGACAGATAATGCTGAAGAGTTAAGCTGGATCCAGGTAATTATAAGGAAATATCTGAAATATTGAGACTGGCTGCTGTGAACTGGTGCTTAAAGGAGCTCATCCTACATAGCAGACCATACAATTCAAAACAAAGTCCCAGAGACTGGATATATGAGCCAAACATGGGTGCCTTTGAACTCAGCATCCTGATAGAATGAAGAAAAGGAGAGGGGTTTGCGAGCTGATCACACACCATTGGGATGTGCTTGCTTCCATCATCACCCTCCTTTCTCTGTCTCTTGTTGACTAGCATACATGCCCTCTACAATTTTCTTTAAAACTCCCAATATGTAATCAATGAATTGCATTGCAGAGGGACAAAACAATGGAAACTGTAGACCATTTAGGAAATATTTCATGAGTTCGGGCAAAAGATGATGAAAAAATGGACTAAAAAGTTGATAGGGATAATTATTTGTACCTTGTAATTCTACTAAATATATATTGTGTTTTTTTTAAAATAGTTGATGTAGATAAAATACTTAAAATGCCTAAGGCTCATAAATAATAATCAAAAAGTACTATTGACATTTAATAATTTAATTTTTATTATTGCTTGTACAATTGTTTGGTTACAACTGCTTTTTATGTGATATAATTCTTCCCTTAATAAGCAACAGATTATCAAACACAGTAAGATTATATTCTCTAGAAGAGAAAAAAGATGTTCTTGTAAATTTCTTGAAAAGTACAATAATTTTTGTCAAGCAAATGAACAACTTGAAGCACTGCAATAGTATTTTAATTGTTCAAGATCTTCACTACTATTCTAATATAAAACAAAAACATTTCACAACAAAAATTGTGTCTCTCAAATATGTGTGTCCCCCAAATATTCAGTCCAAGCTCAATGCTTTTACTCAATAATTTAAGCAATAAATTATTGACATTTAAAAGTTTACGTCTTAGAGCACGATTTCCTATAAGAGAAGTTTTCTGTCTTACATTAAGTCTACATGCCAATTTAGCAAAGCCCCATTGGAGAATACAGGTCTCAACCTTCTAACTGTCTGACAGCAGTACAAAGAAAATGTACCCTGCATGACCAGTTATGACAAGAAGTTGTAACACTTGCATCTACAACTACCCTTAATTTTAGAATTTCAAAAATTCTGTCAACAAGGACCAGCAGTTAGCGTAACAGCTATGTCGCTGAACTCCCATGTAGTCCAGCATGGTTCGAGTCCCAGACCTGGTGGCTTAAACTCACGCTGGGCGCATGAACGTGCGTGCCCAAGATCCCGAGAGGAGAATGGAGGAGAGGGGATTGTGGTGTGGCCATCCCCTCTGGAGGGTGATTTCTCGCTTTCTATCTCTCTGTCTTTTTCTGTCTTTCCGGCAAGCGCATGCAACCTATAGCAAAAACCTCACCAAAAAAAAAAATTATGTCAGCATAAAGGATGATATTCCTATTTGGGTTTAAAACTTTATAGTATGTTAGTATTGTACTTTAAAGACATATGTAAAAATAAGCATCCACTTGTACATTATTATGTGATTTATCAATAGATTGTTTTTGTTTACCCACTTATTAGCAGCACCATAAAACAGAGATCTTTCTCAATGGCTGAAATCTAGCATCTATGTTGAATTCAAATTATTTAGACTCTGCACAGTAACTTTCACCAGGAAGAAAAGTTAAGGTAAAATAGATAAAAATGTTATGTAATCTAATCTTTTGGAAAGAGTTCTTCATTTATATTAAGAGAATAAGTTGGGCCAGCAGGTGGTATAATGGTTAAGGTACTGGACTCCCACTTGGCCATCGGCAGTTTAAGTCCCAGACCTGGTGGCTTACTTTCTTACTTTCTCTCTCTCTTTCTCTGATGAGCACACATGCCCTATAGCAAATTAATTTAAAAAATGATAATATTAAATAAAATTAAATTTTAAAAAAATTTAAATAATTGTTTTTGGAGATGTTTTAGCTTTAGGGCACATGCACTCACCAGGAAGACAGAGAGACAGAAAGAGAGAAATCACTCCTCAGGGGAGATGACCACACTGCAGTCCCTTTTCTTCCAATCTCCTTTCGGGAGCTTGGGCACGCATGCACATGCACCCAGTTTGAGTTTAAGCCACCGGGTCTGGGACTCAAAACGTGGTCGACTACATGGGGGTCCAGTGACATAGCCATTACGCTAACTGCTGGTCTCAAAAATTTTAAATAAATTTTAAAAACAGAATTAGTCAAAGAAGGAAAAGAATAGGAGGGGAAGAAGACAAGAGTGTGTTAGTAGTATAATAGTAAGTTACTATTACTAGTTCCCATTATTATTTGTAGAAAGGTGTGAATACAAGTCAATAGTTTTGAAATCTATCCTCTAATTCTTGATTATGAAAATCATTACCTCAAATTGCTTGCTTTACCATTAAGTATTAGATTTTCAGATAATTTTTGTATATTAGAATGAGTGAGAGAATGCATGAAGCATTTGTTTTGGTTTTGGTTTTTGGTTTTGGTTAGGTTTGGTTTTTATCATAGGACACATGCCCTTACTGGAGAGAGATGCAGAAGGGAAAGGGATATCTCTCTCTCTCTCACACACACACACACACACACGCACACACACACACGCACACACACACACCGGGGTGATAGCCATGCCACAATCCCTTCTCCATTCACTTTTAGGGATTCTGACCATGCACGCATAAGTACATGGAGTGATTCTCAAGCTATTGGGTCCAGGATTCAGAATGTGGTTGGCCATGAAGGAATTCAGCATCTTAACCACCACCCAGTCTGTTGGTCCCTGCATTGAACATTATTTAAATGATACTGACAGACGGTGACTTCATAAAATAGTCAAGAAAATACTCAGAGAAAAAAAATATAAATCAAGATGTGCACATTTAATAATTAGGGCAATTATTAATAGTTGGTAGTAAACCAAGTATTTTACATTAAGTAATGATCAAAAAATTATACTAGGTACATACCAAACCAGTATAGACATTTTATCAAAATATTTCATTACATTGTCAACAATAATACAAATTCGGTTAGGAACTCAGGGGTAAGATTATATATATAACAAAATTACACGTTTTTTGCAGGTTGAAAAGGTATATACAATAGAATTACAGTTTTCAAAATTCATGTCATATACGTATATTGAGTCATATAAGTAAAATAGAAAGTAGAATGAAATAAATGCATATTTTCAATAAGAACTATGTCTATGTATGAAATATGAGCAAATTTTATTTTCTTTACTACACATTTTTTTACACATTTCTTACATTGATCTTATAATAATTATATACCCAAATGAAAACAAGCCTACCTTAGTGATGAATCTACAATTAGAGGATGTATTAGACAAATACTGGGTGCATGAAATAGATTTTGGGTGTGGAATCCCTAAGAGAATAAATGTTAAAGACATATTATATTAAATATAGCTAGAGGTCACAGGAATCAACCTAGTTCTTTGATTCCCCCATGTAACCACTAGAATTGTGGCACGATGACTCTCATATTGAAACTTAAGCGTCACAAAGCTTATAAAATCCCAAAAAAAATCTATGGACTGCATGCAAAAAGTATGGATTTTAATGTTTATTTTGTAAATGATTGGGGTTTTTTATTTGTTTTGATTTCATTTCCATAGGGAGAATGCATTATACCAAAATTCAGGGCACACATGCCCCCACTCCCAGCTTGTTTTTAAGCCAATAGGGAAGGGATTTAAACCTCAGTCAGCTAGTCAGCTAGGTGATATCCAGCTCCTTTATCTGTTCGACCATGGAGTTTGCCTTTTCTAAAATAAAATCCGATCTATTATACCTTTTCAGTAGCTCCCAATACCATTAGGCTACAGGAAGCCCTGCACATAACTACTTTTTTAATTTATCTATTATTATAATTATGATTAAAATTGTACTTCCTAATGTTATAAGAGGTGGTCATTACTTTAGAAAGAGAAAACACCAAATGTGAATTTTAAGCTAAAGAAACACGAAAATGATGAGTTTCCTATCTTGACATGATATCCAGGACACTTTTAGGTACTACATTCTTTCATTCCTTCCTTCTTTCCTTTCATCCTTCCTCCATGTGTTCTTGCTCTGTTTTTGTCCTTGCCTTTTTTCCTTCTCCCTTTAGTCATTCCTTTTTATTCTGTTTTTGTGTTTACTTTGTTTTGATTGGGAGAATACATTGATTAAGAGGATATTATTCTTGGGTAGAATATTTTTAAATTTTAAAATTGGCACAGACCAGGGACCACAGTTCTAAATAATCCTCAATATTAATTGCACATGTCTTCACTAAAGTGTAAGTGAACTACTCAAAAAGGAGACCACGTCACCACGTAGACAGAGCTGGTGGACCTCACTCATGGTGGTGCAAGTGTTCACTGTAAACAAACTGATGTGATCTGGAGAGTCCTTCACAGCCAGTTATACAACAGCACTTTCTACTGGGACCTCAGTTTCACAGCATGATCTTTAGAGAACGAGATTTCATATCTAAAAGATAATCTAAGAAATACGATTCATCAATGACCTAACTACATACCATATAACTCTATATTATAAATGAAACCCTCAGGACTATAACACAGAAAATGCAAATGGCAATACCAGATTCCTGAATGCCAGAGTTTCTTCATCTCCAGGTTTTCAGGTATTTTGAGGGGAAAGGTGAGTGGAGTTGGGAGAGATACTAGGAAACTTACAAACTTTACATAAGTTGAGAAATAGTATACTAAAACACAAAATGTGGATATAAAATCACCCCAGCTATTAGTTAGCTTTTGTTACATGCTCATATTCAGGGAACAAAAACAATAATGATGTAGCAAAACCGTAACAGTACGAAATTAAAGCCAAGTGGCATCGCCTTCCAACGACTTATATAAACAATTGTAGTATTACAAAGGATGAGACTGTGTGTAATATTTTCTAGCATTTTGTCCCCCACATACTGCTCAGTGGCTCTATTTCACTTCCTTCCACACCCTTATGTATAACATGCACACTTACCGAGCATGCATACTGAGACCATCTATGTCTTATTACACGTCTTCTTCCAAAGAAACTAAATGTGGTTCTGCTCAAAAACTGCTGATACCTGCTGGACGCCCATGTAGTCCACCACGGTTTGAGTCCCAGACCTGGTGGCGTAAACTCACGCTGGGCGTATGAGCGTGTGTGCCCAAGATCCCAAGAGGAGAATGGAGGAGTAGGGATTGTGGCGTGGCCATCCTCCCTGGGGAGTGATTTCTCACTTTCTGTCTCTCTGTCTCTCTGTCCTTCTGGCGAGCGCATGCACTCTATAGCAAAGAAAGTCTCAAAAAAAAAAAAATTGCCGATACCCCAGTAACTTACTAGTAATACTTTACATCATTGACTTAGTTTTTTAAATCAGTCATTTCAATAGTGGTTAACCTGTTGGTGCCCTTTTGTGATGGAGCAAATTCTTTCTTCCTAGGAAATAGAAGATTTTGTCCAGAGTTCTGGAAAACATGGTGTGGTGGTGTTTTCTCTGGGGTCGACGGTCAGTAACATGCCAGAAGACAGGGCCAATGTGATTGCATCTGCTCTTGCTCAGATACCCCAAAAGGTGAGATAAAATGCCTCACTGTGGACAGCTGCTGAATGAGTCTGTTCTCTCTGAAAGTGTCTGATTACAGGAAACTTCTTGTAAGCAAGTTAAATTGTGCAATAACTCTTAAGGTCTCAGACACTAATTCAAAAACAGAAAATACACATGGAATTTGATAAAGTAATATAGATGTTTTTAAGATTAATTTATTACTTCTGCAAGAAAAAGAAACAGACTGGGAAAGAGAAACAAATTGACTTACAAGAACCTGCAACAGGGTCTGCATGTCCTAATCCACCCTCAACCTCTCTGGCTGGGATTACAGACACACACGTGCATGTGCCAGGTATACACATAGAAGCAAATCAGGACACTCCTAGCAGGGTACAGCATCCCGGATTTGCTCTAACACACTAGATGGCCTCGATGATATTTTGACTGATATTAATTTTGGCGTTAACATTCTGATGAGAAAGAAAAGATTTAAGAGGTGGGCTCTTCATTTCTACATCAAAAAAGTTAACAAAACTAACAATATTGTTAAAACTCTGAAGCGATGTAAAAAAATGGCACAGGAAAGCTAGCCAATGGTGTAGCAGTTATGTCCCTGGACTCCCACATGCCCAAATGCGGTATGAATTCCAGACCCAGGTGGCTTGAAGCTCATCCTGGGCATGTGTGCGTGCATGCATGTCCAAGATCCCAGGAGGAGAATGGAGGAGAAGGGATTGGGGCATGACCATCCCCTCTGAGGGGTGATTTCTCACTTTCCCTCTCACTCTTTTTATCTCTGTTTCTCTAAGAATGCATGTACCCTAAGGCAAAAACCTCTACTGAAAGAAAAAACATTGACACTAAAAACTTTTTTCTGGAAGTAGCACTTAATATAAAATCTAAAAGAACCTGAATATACCATGTAAACAACATACATTTATTTCTTGCAAGTAGATGAGTTCATGGATTTGTGTTTTGATAAATCACTCTCAAACTCTAAGAAAACTCATAGAGAGTGGATTTAAGTAAACAAATTCCCATACAATCACAAAATAAACTGAGTAATATATATTTAGTATATGATCTCTAAGTCAAAATACATAAAACAAACTCAATTTTTTTGGTTTTTTTGGGGGGTTTTTTGTTTTTTTTTGTTTTTTTGCCAAAGAACTATTAATATAATGACTGCCTAACAATTTCTTAAAAAACAGAATTTTTCACTGGGAATCTTCTTTGTTTAAGCCAATATAGTTGAAACATCATGACTTCACTGTACATTCTATTTATTATAAACGTAAGTGCATGAAATGTGGAAATTCCATATACCACAGACTTTAGTAGTTCTTTTTATTCAACATTTGGTGCCCTTATTTCTTGATCTTTCATATACTAGGTGTTTAAGCAAATGTCCTTATAATCTTCTTAGAGTTCTATCATGGCCTAACTTTGGAGTTCCACTCATGGAGCAAGGTATTTTCTTTATTCATAGGTTATATGGAGATTTGATGGAAAGAAACCAGACAGCTTAGGACCTAATACCCAGCTGTACAAGTGGATCCCCCAAAATGATCTTCTTGGTAAGGATCTGGAGAAAAATACCAAAATATGAATAATAACCATTAAGAATAATTATCATTCTCCAAGAATTTTTTTAATACTTATCATTGAAATAACCACCAAACTTCTTTATATCTATTTTCCAGACATAGAGAAAAGAGGATTTAAAAAATTGTTATAATAATTTGCATTTTATTATATACACATACATTCATTTATGGACATAATTAAGGTATATTTCAGAAACAAGTATGTCTCACAAAATATGTAACAACCTCCTGAATTATCTCTGTGTCTCCTTTTATACTTAGTGTTTATTTATTGTTATTATTTCACTTACAAGTTTACATTTATGCCTTTTCTTACTTCAAGGTTATTTTAAATGATCCTAAAAAATAACACTTCCACTTTTGATACCAGTGACTCTATATTTTCTATAGGAAAACAATGAATGATCTCTGTCATGAATGGTTACACATTTTATGATGAAATGTAATCTTCCCTTCTGATTTTAGCACCAAGACCACCTCTCTGCTGGCCTGAACACCCTATTTATCATACTCAGTGACTTCACTCTTTCTGTAAGAGGATATACTCTTACATGTCTCAAATTTTTATTTTCTCCTTTCCTTTTTCTGCATATTTAGTTTCTCTTATTCAGTGTTATTTTTCATTTTCTCCACCTGGTAATCTTGCATTAATTTTTCAAGTCTCAAGCCGTGAAGTCTTCAATTATGTCTAAAGCAGACAGGGGTGCTTCTTCCCCTGAAATCTAACAGCAATTTCAATATGCAGTTATATGAGTGTAATAATATTTTATAGCAAAAATACTGCCCTTTTCTGTACCTTGTGGTGTGAATTTCTCATTTTGTTTCTCAGCCATAAAAATAAATGATTTTGTCAAAATTTCCCAATCTTAGGTCATCCAAAAACCAAAGCTTTTATAACTCATGGTGGAGCCAATGGTGTCTATGAAGCCATCTATCATGGGATCCCTATGGTGGGAATTCCATTGTTTGCAGACCAACACGAAAACATCGCTCTCATGAAGGCCAAGGGAGCTGCTGTAAGACTAGACTTTAGAACTATGTCAAGTACAGATTTACTGAATGCATTGAAGACAGTAACAGACAATTTAGTTTCTCTTATTCAGTGTTATTTTTCATTTTCTCCACCTGGTAATCTTGCATTAATTTTTCAAGTCTCAAGCCGTGAAGTCTTCAATTATGTCTAAAGCAGACAGGGGTGCTTCTTCCCCTGAAATCTAACAGCAATTTCAATATGCAGTTATATGAGTGTAATAATATTTTATAGCAAAAATACTGCCCTTTTCTGTACCTTGTGGTGTGAATTTCTCATTTTGTTTCTCAGCCATAAAAATAAATGATTTTGTCAAAATTTCCCAATCTTAGGTCATCCAAAAACCAAAGCTTTTATAACTCATGGTGGAGCCAATGGTGTCTATGAAGCCATCTATCATGGGATCCCTATGGTGGGAATTCCATTGTTTGCAGACCAACACGAAAACATCGCTCTCATGAAGGCCAAGGGAGCTGCTGTAAGACTAGACTTTAGAACTATGTCAAGTACAGATTTACTGAATGCATTGAAGACAGTAACAGACAACCCTTTGTGAGTATAACTTTACTTTAGTAAGTAGTATTTATAGACAGGTTCTCTTGTCAACAGTGTGTATGAGTAGCTTTGTCCCTTTTGTAAGTAGCTATATATGTAAGACTTTAAGTCACTAAGCAATTCGCATTCTCTCCTTTTCAATAAGTGAGTTTTTCAAAATTGCTTTGCAACCCCACACATTTAATGGGCAACCACGTATGGAACAATTTTCCATACACAAAAATATAACTTTAAAGTTGTACAGATAAGTATAAAAAGGACACTTTTTTTAAAAATACAGCAAAATACACAGTAGAAAATTGGTAATCCTCAAGAACTGTGATTAAAATATTTCAATTTAATCCCTGAAATTTCTAGAATTATAACTCTATTCTTACTGAAAATCTCATATATATGAACTGGCTCTGAGGTGCAGCAGTAATGGCATAGTTAAAAGAAGCTAGATTGCACATGGTGACTACAGCTCAAAATCCCAACCCATCAGTCTAAAACACACTAGGATTGTGTACAAGTGCCCAAGATCCAATGGGCTGTAGAACAGAATTGCAGTATAATTAGACCCTGTGGAGGATGCTCGTTTCTCTCTGTCTCTCACATGTGCATATACACTTAGTCTTTCATGGATATGCATTTCTTAATTCATTATAATTATGTCATTTTAATATATTCATAATGGCAAAATTTTTAGACCACAACATTTACCTATTTTAGTGCAAAGTTCAATTATGTTTAGTATGCATGTGTAACTATTAAGCTATCACCGTAATACAGTTTTAGGGTATACTTATCACCATACGAAAATATTACTTGGGATAGAAGTCACTTCTTATAACCTCCTGCCCTAGATAAACACCAATTTACTTCCTTACATTATAGATTATCCTTTCTGAACTAAATTGACTCATATAAATACTAGTGTTTTATAAATGAACTCTTTACATTAGATATTATTTCTTTAGATTTGTAAGTATTAGTTTTTATTCCTTTTTAATGTTTTATAATATGGATATCTGAAAGGGAGAATAGTAGGAGGCAAATGTCTATGAAATGTAGTGTGCATGGGGAAAGTTAGGAAAAGAGGCTGCCAGTGTCTCACCATATAGGGCCTGTAGTCCAGTGAATAAATTTATATTTGATTCCTAATGTGATTAAAAGTCACATGCCAAAACTGATCAGGGACGTGTCATAATCTGTGTATCAAAAGAATTATTCCTTCAGTTGGTGAATAAACAATGCAGGCTTGAAGAAAAAAGAAAAAGAGAGACTAGTTGGGAGGCAATTTTTACCTACCATTGACACCATTCTGCTTGAAAATTTCAAGATGATCTTTGTCAAATTGACTTTCTACTATTTTCATTATAGCTGGTTTCATAATATTGCCTCTCTTAAAGAAGTAACTATCTTGACTTTCCATTTTCACTTCCAAATTATTTACTAGTGAGAACATTCTAATTAAAAAAAAAAAAAAAAGACTCTCACTGATGACTCAAGTGACAATATTCAGCTTCTGGCCCATCCACAGTGATGCAGGCGGCAGCATATGCTTCTGCAATTCTGGAAGTACCATGGCTAACCATGGACCAGATTAGATCCTGAGCCAACATCCTGGTGACATGTACTCCATAGGTGTTGGCTAAGTAGAGAGCTGGTGAAGAGTATTATACTATGTCCTGGGCCTGTTGGGGGCACCTATCTTCTGTCTTTTTTTTTTTTCCTCTCATAAAAGAAATAAAATATATAGGTTTAAAGACTTAAATATGTAAGTATGTAAGTATTGACATATATTTGATATGTCTCTACATATAGGTCTTCCATGACAATTCTATAAATAAATCCAATTTTGAATAATTTGTATGACAAATTTTAAAAATCTTTCATGGACTTGATATGCTTATTCTACTTAGTTTTCAATGTCTGTGTCTTAATGTTTCTCCTTCAGATATAAAGAAAATGCTATGAGGTTGTCAAGAATTCAGCATGACCAGCCAGTGAAGCCCCTGGATCGAGCAGTCTTCTGGATCGAGTTTGTCATGCGCCACAAAGGAGCCAAGCACCTCAGGGTTGCAGCCCATGATCTCACCTGGTTCCAGTACCACTCTCTGGATGTGATTGGCTTCCTTCTGGCTTGTGCAGCGACTGTGATATTCATCATCTCAAAATGTTGTCTATTTTGTTGGCAGAAGTTTGCTAAAAGAGGAAAGAAGAAAAAACAGGAGTAGTTGTACCTGAAGCCTGAAGCTGAGATACCAGATACACGGAACTCTTCCAGTTCATTCCATCAAGAAGGAGACATGATGCAAGATTCCCTTCCCCCAGTGACAAAGTAACTTTGCACAATTTACTTCCTCAAGTCAAAATATGTTCTCGGGCCATTCACTATTACTTGAAGAGTTAGGAATATTTCATGCTAAAAAAAAATAAAAGCCAAATGAGTTGTGTTGATATTCACAGGTATTCTTATAATTCCAAAAGTATCAAAAGTATACAAAAAGTATAAAACTTTACTAATTAATTGTTGTGTTGCACATAAACACAAGAGTATTAAGACATCAACTAACAATATCACTACTGATTTGCAAACACCAAAAATTATTTACTTATGTTGGAGCAGAATTTAGAATTTGTAACTGCTGCTGGAAAATAATCCATAATTACAAGTACATAAAATTACCCTTTTATTTGGTTTCAAGAGATGAGCAGTGCTATTTAGCTATTACTGTAAAACCAACCTCAGCCTTAATTCTCTCTAAAAAAGATAGGGAAAGTGTTTACTTTCTTTCAGGTGAAATCATTTCCCTGTAGAATATATGTGAAATCAGAAATGCAAAATAAATGATTTCTGGGTCAACAAGTGTTGTGGTGGTTAAGACTCTAGTCCTACATAGCCAATTCTGCAGTTTGAGTCCTGGATCCAGTGGCTTGAAAAATCATGCAGGACACATGTGCATACATGCCTAAAATCCCAAGAGAAGAATGAAGATGAAGAGATTATGGCATGGCCATCCCCCCAGGGTGGTTTCTCACTTCACTTCTCTCTTTCTCTGTCTCTCTCTTGCAAGCACACATACCCTTTGGCACCAACCTTAAAAAATAAATAAATAAAAATAAACAACTTCTAGTGCTTTCAATTGTAAAACTGAGCTACTTGCAAATGTTTGGCTTCACTAATTTACTTGTTTTTCTCATAATGAGTAACAAATCAAAGGATACAAAAATGACATAATTATGTAAAAAATAAAATTGCAAGGATAGTCAAGGCTCTATAGAAAGTTATGTATCAGGGAAGCATTTTATGATCAATGTGGTCTAGGATGAAAAAAAACCACTTATCTTGATTGTAGTAAAATCATTATTCAAGGCCCACAACAAATCTTCTACAATCTGAGGTATGCCTTAATCTTAAAAGATAAATTAATAGAGAATTCTATAATTTCTCTAGAGAATTCTTTATAGAATTTCTCTAGAAATTATAGAAAAAGCTTAAAACAGAATCTTTGGGAAAATTCATTAAGATAATTAACACACTTTTAAAAGTAGGCACCGGGCACGTGTGTGTGCGTGCCCAAGATCCGAAGAGGAAAATGGAGGAGAAGGGATTGCGGCGTGACCATCCCCCCGTGGGGTGATTTCTCACTTTCTATCTCTCTGTCTCTCTCTGTCTGTCTGGCGAGCACATGCGCCCTATAGCAAAAACCTCTCCAAAAAAAAAAAGAAAGAAAGAAAAAAAAGAAAAGTAGGGAAAAAATATTGTTAAATAATGCATTTAACCTTAAATTATTATAATATCCTACTCTAACACATTTATAAAAGAATGATATCCCTATTACAGTGAGAACTACTCCATGACAGCAACCATAAAACAAACAAACAAACAAACAAACAAAATACCAAACAGACCAATACAAAAATAGATGAAGTATTTGAAGAGGGAATTCATAGGCATAGAAAACCACTGATCACATCAAAAATGATGAAAGACAGTGATATTAAGAAATCACACATCATCTCTATAAATTAGTTTTGCACAGAAAATTTGTGAAGAGGAACAATGTGAGAAAACTACTGGGTTGATGGAAAAGTTACAACATGTTTTTTCTATGCAAAAATGCATCATGACTTTTCTGACAACACAATACTTGTAGTGAACATATGTGACATAATCCTTTCATATAATATTGAAACATCCCGTTTGACCCTGTAGTTCTATATCGAATAATCTGTTATGCAGAAACACATGAGAACATGTACGAGTACAGGGTCTTCCAGCCCTTACACGGTATTCAGTCAATGAACACCTTTAGCTAGAATGAAGGCAGAACATAGCCATCACAAAGAGCAGGTATACTACAGACAGTATCACTGAATGTTCTCTATGTCATATTGCTAAGTAAAAAACAAAGCCCTGTAAAAAAAATGTTAACTTTCTTTGAAATAAAGTAAAGTATATGGAAATCTATATGAGTACAAAGAATATGCTCTCAAAGAATAAAAAAACTTACACTGATGGGAATTTTAATTTTACTCTATGTACTTTACTGACTAACCATTTCCAGTTATGTTTTTATGTATTAATTACATAGTTTTAAAAATTACTTGGGGGACCGGCAGTTAGCGTAATGGCTATGTCGCTGGACTCCCACATAGTTGACCGTGGTTCACGTCCCGGCCCTGGTGGCTTAAAACTCACGCAGGGCGCGTGTGTGTGCGTGCCCAAGATCCCGAGAGGAGAATGGAGGAGAAGGGATTGTGGCGTGGCCATCCCCTCTGGAGGGTGATTTCTCACTTTCTGTTTCTCTATTTCTCTCTGTCTGGCGAGCACACATGCCCTATGGCAAAAACCTCTCCAAAGGAAAAAAAAAACAACTTGGTACCAGCAGATGGCATAGCAGTTACATTGTAGTTGCCCATGGTTCGAGTCCTGGATCTGTTGGCTTAACACTCAAACTGGGAACGTGCGCATGCATGTCCAAGATCCCAAGAGGAACATGGAGGAGAAGGGATTGTGGTGTGGCCATCACCCTGGGGAGTGGGGGGGATGATTTCTTACTTTCTATCTCTCTGGTGAGCACATGCACCCTATAGCAAAAATATGTGTTTAAAAAATTATACTTAGGGGCTAGCAGGTGGTGTGGTGGTTAAGGCACTGGACACTCCCATATGGAAGACCACAATTCGAGTCTGGGACCTGGTGGCTTGCTTTCTCACTTTCCTTCTCTCTATGTGGCTGTTTTTCTCTGGTCAAATTAAAATAAATGAATGGTTAAATAAAATTAAATAAATAACTCTTAGGAGAAAAAAAATTTTAAAAATTATACATAGAAAAATACATTTAATAGACACAAAAATGAAAAATTATTTAGTGGGGATCAGCAGTTGGCATAATGGCTTTGTCGCTGGACTCCCATGTAGTCGACCGCGGTTCGCATCCCAGACCCGGTGGCTTAAAACACGCCAGGCACGTGTACGTGCGTGCCCAAGATCCCAAGAGGAGAATGGAGGAGAAGGGATTATGGCGTGGCCATCCCCCCTGGGGGTTGATTTCTCACTTTCTATCTCTCTGTCTCTTTCTCTGTCTGTCTGGTGAGCGCACACGCCCTATAGCAACGAACCTCTCAAAAAAATTATTTAGTGATAATAATGTGTATGATAATATCTTTGACTGAAATAATATACACTCTATCATATTCAGAAAAACTATTTCGTATGCTGAACAGATATACACTGATTAAATATAAATTATACATATATAATTGATAGTATGTTATCAATACTACTATAACATACTATCAATTCACTAATGTCATTTAGACTATTTGAAATGACACCAACATTTGAAATGACACCAACTGGCAACCTTTCCATCTATGTAGGTCTGTCTTGCACAGCACTGAGTTTCAGTACTGACTCACCATCCAGCCCATGTGTTTGGCTCTTTTTGTTACAATATTTTCAGCATCCATCCCTCTCATGGAGTATACCAGTACTTACTTTCCTTTTTAAGGTAAAATCATATTAATGTTTAGATAAGCCATATTTAGTTCATCCATTCATCAGTTAATGGACATTAGGGTAATTCCACAAGTAGGCATTTATGAACAGTGCTGCAATGAAAATTCATGTAGTACAAATGTATTTTAAACATCCATTTTAAATTATTTTGGGCAAATGCCTGAATGCGGATGCTGGATTCCATTGAATTGTCTATTTATTAGAGGAAGGGTCAGACTATCTACTAAGAAGTTGAACCATTTTACATTTTCTACAGGTTTTCACTTTCTTATATCTCCACCATAATTATATCTATTGGAGTGATGAGAAAGTGGTATCACATTGTTATTTTGACTTCTACCTCCCTGATGCTTAATAATATTCACTGCCATTTTATGTTCAAATAAATATGGGCTACATGTGAATAAGTAGGTACTAAGAATTACAAATAGGGACCAGCAGATGGCATAGTGGTTAAGTTGTTGGATTCCCATGTAGTTACCCACAGTTTGAGTCCTGGAATGGAGGCTTAAAACTCATATAAGGCACATGAGTGTGTGTGCCCAAAATCCTGAGAGGAGAATGGAGGAGAAATCCACTCCCCTGGGGGATGATTTCTCACTTTCTGTCTTTCTCTCTCTGGCGAGCACACACACCCTATAGCAAAAATATCTCCAAAAAAATTGTAAATACTGTTGGAAGACATATAATGTTTTATTATGCAGAATTTATTGATGTGGGCTCCCAAGCAGAGATTTTTCAGTTAAAAATTTAACCTGTGGAGGTAGAAAGCATTTATAGTTGAGAGAAACATAAACCAAATGATGACTCACAGATGTGAAAACAAAATGGCCGAAGTCTTTGGTTTAATATACAGGAAAGGATTCATAATGTTAGGAAGATTGGAATATTAGACTGGAATTTTCATTTTAGATCTACTCATCCACACTGAGAAGACATATCTATTAGCAATACTCAGAAATAAATTTCTGGGGACCCACGTATTTTGAAGAGTACCATGAATGCTTGTTTTTTATAGGCAAAACTGTAGTCATAATTGAAGCATATTAACTACAAGATCACATTCCAATGAGGTAATTAGACCAAAAGGTAGTAGGGATCAAGTGTGTGCATTCAACCATCCACAGCAAATTTGTAGAGGTTCCAATAAATGATTGAAACCAGGATATCTGACTTTTGCAGACCTATAGTCTTGGTGAGTTGATTTTGGTGTTTCTTGAAGCAAAAGACAGAGGAAACCTACTGAATTATTTTTTGGTCTACAAAAGCAAAAAAAAAAAAGTCAAGAGCAAGTGAAAAGAAGTCAAGATTTAATCACAAAACAGCCACATCTCTCAGTTTATTCTTAGATAATGTGAGCCGTTTACAGACCCAGAATCCTATGAATAAGAGGAAGGCTGGATATATTTGAGAACAAGACTCCAGCGCAGAATCAATCATTCATAATGGTAACTTGCTTCCAATCTTCCCCAAAGGAAAGGCATTTTTTCAGAGTAACTATGCATTGGGATAAAGGAAATAATCAGTCCTTTAGAGACTACTGGACACAGCTCTGAATTAGCATTGATTCCAGAAGACCTAATCCTCACTCTGGCTCAGAAGTCAGAGTAGGGGCTAATGGAGATCAAGTGAAGATTTCTCTTAGATTTGCCTCACAGTGATTGCAGTGGACTCATTCAACCCATCCTGTTGTTATCTACCCAATTCAGAAAGGCATAATTGAAATCAGTTTCCTTAGACTAGACAGTGGCATGGTGGTTAAGGTGGCTGGATTCCCTCTGGCAGACTGTGCAGTTAGAGTCCCTGATCTAGAGGCTGAAAATTAGATCTGGCATATTTGCA